ACATTCACACACGTGGTCACGGCTTTAGACCCCGGATCGCTATCCGTCTCGGCCAACAGACCTTCCATACCCACGAAGTCTGTTATTGCACCAGACTCGTCTGGTCTGGGAGGATAAAAACATTGACTTGTACATCGGCTGACCCCCGTAAATCGTTGTATAGGTAACACACAGGCATTCAATACGCTACTACATTCGACTCTGAAGGAAATTGGACTGCGGGGGCGTCCCTCAGAGGGATTGATTGACATCCAAAATCATCCTTGTACCCTTTACAGAGAGGTAGCTTGTTATGCGAAACTGAAGAACTGGGGCGCATGCGGCACAATGCTAACTAAAAATCGCCGTGAGGTTCTCGTGAGGTCCTTCTGGATGATATCTGAGTGGCAAGTTATCGACGAGTTCGTTGTGGTTCAAGTTGGTGGCACTCCTGCTAGTTTATATCCGTTTACAGCACGGCTTCCAATGCGAATTTTTAGGAAGCGATGAGTGATCAATTGGTATCCTCTAGCATATCGCTCTTTCATGAGCATAGGAGANAGGGCGCTTATAATAATAGCAATCGATTCGCCTGGCTAACGCCTAGCTTCCCTGCTTCTTTGACAAGGTTGTAGTAATCGGCTAACTCTCCACTCCTTCTTTGAAACAAATAATATTTTTCTGTACACGAAGTTTGACACAAGACTAAGAGGGCAAAGCAAATGGTATGCTGTGAATTGGACGTGTCGATTTTCTGCTCTGTTTACTAAAAAGAAAAACCCATCGAAGATTCATCCGTTACAAAGATGATGCTGTGGAGATGAGATGTTCTGAGCGATGATAGCACCTTTATCAGATGTCTTTATCAACGGACCCTCTTATTTACGAAGCTATCATTAGTTAAGAATTCCAGATTACTGGCGACCGATTAAGTTTTGCCGCAGATGATATCGTGCAAAGAGGATACTTCATTTGATCACAAGCCTTGCTGGGCAGCGGTCGTAAACTAATGGCAGGAAATGAACAAAGTCTCCATTTGCTCATCGTAGTGCCGCTAATGGGTCCCTATCACTGCACTTACCACTCATTTACACTCTAGCATCCCGTCTTATTGAATGAAACATACTGAACGGTCAAAGCTACATCGTAAATACCGGAGACTTGGGATTTTTATGTAGGTGGCCTCTCTTAGGTCCTTTATCTTCTCTTATCAGTTATGATCAGTTCCTGCATCCGTCCCTTCGATCCCG